GTGGAAGGCAGGAGGGTGAGCGCTTAGAGAAGACCAGGTAGGCAGAGGCACAGAAAGGGCTGGGCACCCAGCAAAGAGATGGGGTGGGTGGGTCAGTGAGAGTTCTGGCCAGGGCTCCATGGTCAAGGGCATGGGCCATGATCAGGCCAGAGGTCTGGAATGGTGGGAAGCATGCAGGTAGAAGGCACCTGGGTGAGACTGTGCCTCAGAGCCTCTGAGGACAGGATGGACCCGTCGGGAGCAGAAGCAGGGAGGGTGGCAAGGAGCATGTCCCGAGGAGGGGACCTCACTGAAAGCAGAGGCCCTCGAGGTACTCTGGAAGGAACCTGGAGATGGTGAGGATTGGGGCAGGGGTGTTGTGGGGAAGATAGGCTGACCACCTCTGATTCTAGACCAGGAGACTGGGTAGGTTGCACAACCAGGGTGGGCCTCGGCTCCCAGAGGGAGATGCCCAAGGGAACGGGGACCTAGAAGGACCCCAGAAGCAGAGGTTCCAGTCAGAAGGAGAAGAGAAATGCAGGAAGACCCCACTCTCCTGCTGGTAGAAGGGAGGTGGTTCCACCTGCCTCCCAGGAGAGGGCAGGGTGGGTGACAGGAGCCCCTGTCCGAGAGGCCTATCACCTGTGTGAATTCGGGAGCTTGGACAAGCCTTTGACCGGGGACTGGAAACGGAGACCTGCTGTCACACTGTGCTTCAGTCATCAGGGAATAAGACTCCTCCGTGGGATGGGGTGCACGCCATTCTGTGGATCCCCCATCCTCCTTCCCCGGACTGGCGCTCCCTGCGCCCTAAATGCCCGCTGGCTGGGCAGGAGCCCCAGAACCTTGGGCTTGCAGGAGTTACCCTGGTTCTCCCAGGAACAACTTGTCTGCCCCCTAGTGAATTATGAAGAGTCTCGCAGACTCACAAAGGGGACCTGGGACAGACTAAGATCACTGGTTCTTTAGGGGTGGGATTCAGCTGGTTCACACTGGTTGGGCAGAAGAGATAGCTAATCTCCGGTTGAACTCAGCGAACTGGTTGTTAAAATGGCACTTATGATCAGGGTCCTATGTGAAAATCACAAATGTACCTTCTTGACTCCTTTCTGAGCGTCCATCCGCACAGCAGCATGCTCTAAGCACCCGCGGTGATGCTCATTCCAGCCACAGGTACAATTAGGTGAAACTGTGCGGGTAATATTTATTTGTTCATCTCGCAAAACTTGCCATTCTTTGAATAAAAATACTACATTTTCATTCCCATGCGGTAGTTACTTCCATGAACACACACAGACCATTGCGTTGCGCCCCAAGTCCCCACGAAATATTATGAGCAGATGATGCGATTCCCGAATGTGTCTAAAGAGCTGGAAATATTGTGAGGACAATCGTTGTGAGTTCAGCGCAAGTGGAAAGGCCTTTTTCCCCCCCAAAGATGAACGTAACATGTTCAGCAAAGGTTAAGTCGCCTGTTTCTAATCTACCCAACACAATGACCATTGTATAATTGGTCTGCCTCTCCAGGAACGGGATCCTGCTCCGACAGGGAAAAGATGGTTCAGAATGAGACCGATGATGGCCAGATAAAAGCGAAGGATATTGCAAGCGAGGACGCCGATCAGAAAGCAATTTGGAGATACCTAAAATAACAGTTATATTGTTTTTCCTCAAGTACCGTTTCCTATTTATCATTAATATTGTAAAGCATGTCCTTATAATCTGGTTTTGTGTGCCTCTTTTATTGTTCTTATTTAAGTACGAGCTGTGGGAAATAACAAACTACCTTCAGGCATATCATATTTCGGGTACTTAAAGTGGCCACGAGGGCAGTGAACCAGTTGTTAAATGATTGAATCCCCCACGGGCACCGGGCTGTCCAGTAGAAGTGACTTGTGCCAGGAAGCCCAGGAGCAGATCCTGGACATGAGATGGACAGCTGAGCCTCAGGAGAGAACCCAGGCTTGAGCACCAGACAGCCACCCCACCACCCCCTGTGGTCCCGGCCCATCTCCTCACAGGGCCTCCCTCCCCCACATGTGGACAGCTGGGATCCTGCACACCCTGTGTGCTCAGCACACGTGCCCCCACCTTCCTCACCACCCACCTTCCTCATCCCTACCAACACTCTGCACCTACCCCCCGCAGAGAGTGAGCGCAGAATCTGGAGGTGACGCGCCCGCGAGAGCACCAATGAAGAGATCAAAAGACACACGTCGCACTCGATACACCTGCTGCACGAGATCTCTGCCGAGTGTTGAAAAGCAAGGGTCTCGCTTTGAGGCCGAAAGTGCACCCCACCCAACTGCCTCATACGCATGTGAAAGTGGGACGTTAAGTAAGGAAGAGAATCCATGCGTTTTCATCGCGTGCTGGCGAAGAACATTGAAAGTACCATGGGCTGTCTTAGAAAAAGTACCACCAGAGTGCTCCTTAGAGGCAAGGATGGCAAGACTTGATCTTGTATACTCCGGGCATGTTGTCAGGGGAGACCAGCCCCTGGAGAAGGACGCCATGGTTGGTAAAGTAGAGGGGCAGCGGGAACGCGGAAGGCCCTCAGGGAGATGGATGGACACAGAGGCTGCAGCCACGGGCTCAGTTGTGAGGATGGTGCGGGGCCAGGTAGGGCTTCCTTCTGTTGTGCACAGACAGGGTCACTGTGGGTCGGAACCGTCTCGATGGCACCAAACAACGTGGGTCTCCTTGACATGAGGCTCACCTGCCCCCACTGCGGCTTCCTTCCCCCACTCTCTACCCCCACTCTGCCTCTTCATCCCACCCCACACACCTTCGCCCAGGCCACAGACAGAGGGTTTCGGCTCAGCCCTGTCTTAAGAAGCCCAGACACAGGTCACAGATAGAGAGTGACCAGTTCTGAAGGGGATGCCCAGGCTGAGGCGTGGGGAGTGAGGGGCAGGATGGCTCATGGGAGGAACTGGCCAAGGAGCCTGGGTTTGGAGAGTGAGGGGGACTTGGGGAGTAGAGGGCACTGGGAGAGAGCCCTTCAGGCTGATGCAGGGGCTGGAGGTGAGCGTCCATCACAGCGTGAGGGGCCGTGGTGCTGAGATAAGGCCGTGGTCACACCCCATGCCAGCCGGGCGGGCAGGATCCCATCCAACCCAGAGGCAGAGCGCAGCTGAGGAGAGGCTGGGCTCAGACCTCAGGAGCTGACCTTGAGATGGGGGGGTGGGGGGTGGGTGGAGAAGTCGGGGGAGTGGCTCATGAAAAGCCTCTGGGCCAGCTTGGAGTAAGTTGTTCACCCATCTGGTCACTCTCCTCGTGGGCGCCTCCTGCTGGGCATTGGAATGATGATCATGCTGACTGGGGGTCAGGAATACCCAAGCCAGACCCACTGCCATCTAGTCGATGGGCACTCACAGTGACCTGATGGGGCAGAGTAGAACTGCCCTGTGGGTGTCCGAAGCTGGGAGCAGAGAACCCCATCCTCCCACAGAGCAGCTGCCAGGTTCAAATTGCTGACTCTGTGATTAGCCGTCTAACTTGTAAACCACAGCGCCACTCGAGCTCCCGGAGGGGGGTGAGGGGGGGCGGGGTGTCAAGCATGGAAAGGATTCATTGCATTCAGAGGAGGGTCCCTCAGCCTCCCTGTCATCGAGCTGATGCCGGCTCACAGGGACCCTGTAGGGACAGGGCAGAACTGCCCTGTGGGTTTCTGAGACTACGACTTTGTATGGAAGTGGAAAGCCCTGGTGGTCAAACTGCTGAACTGTCAGATCGCAGCACCTGGACTCCTAGAGGAAGGTTGGGAAAGGTTGAATGAGGAGGGGGCATATCAGCTGGACGCTGAAGGATGTGGAGGAGTTTCTCAGATGGGAAAATGGGACAAGGCCAACTGGGTATAGAAAACAGCCAGAGAAAAGGGAGCAGGCGGGGAGGGCCTAGGCAGCGTCAGCAGCCTGCTGGGGTCAGGGAGTGAGGGGCAGGGCGCGCATGAGATGGGGTCTCAGTGTGTGTGGGTCTCGAACACTGCAGGTGCACATGCTCGTGCACACACCACATACATGCACGCACGCGTGTGCATGAAAACAAGCACCGCACGCAGACGCAGCCAGGATTGAGGGCTCTATGCAGAGAAACCCATTTCCCAGCAAGCCCCTTGTTTGAAGTTTCCCTGACAGCTCTCCCCTCCTGAGGGGGCTCTTGAAGAAGGAAGTTTGTTTAGGACTTAACCTGCCCCCACCGGGCCGGCTCCCTTCCCTCCGCCTGGGAAATGAATCCCACGTGCTGCAGGTCGCCCTGCACAGAAATCGCTGGCGGGGATTTGGCGCGGCCACTTTGATGTCGGAGGCCAGCGTAATGAGTTGGCTGTGAGTTTCTTTTTTCTTTCTTTTTTCCTGTAAGAGAGAAGTCTCATTTTATGGAAAGCCAAGAAATTCTTACACACGCACAGGCCCTCCTCTGTCAGGGGATCCAGGGCCTAGGCTCGAAGCACAGTGCTCACAGATACTCCAAGGTTTCCATGGGCTTGATCGGGGGAGGGAGGGAGGCAGCATCCACGGGGCATTCCCTGTGGGCCAGGGCTCTGTGGTAAGAACGTTTAAAACCCTCTCAACACCTGTTTTAGAGATGACAAAACTTCCAGGTGTAGCATGGTAAGTAGGTGGCCCGGCTCCGTAGGCCAGGAGCCCATCTGCCGGCTCCTGCCTCTGGCTGCTGCTCCACTGTCACTGCCTCCCTCCCGCTGGGCCTCTGGCACTTCAGCTGTCAAATGGGGACAGTGCCCTCTAAGGGGGGGAGGGTTGGAATAAAGACCTCTCTTTATAATGAGCTCTTCATGTGGAAGCAATTTGTGCAGAGCAAAGCACATGTGGGGCTATTTCTGGTTTTACGGTGGGCGTGCTGAGAGGTGAGTTCGGCCCTCTGAGCTACCAGGAATGTGTCAAGTAGCGTGGCACTGGGGTCCTGCCTAATGGGCAGCCTGGAGCACAGTACGGAAGTCATTGAGGGAAGTGGGGAGCAGGGGTGGGTGTCCAGGCACCTGTCCCAAGAGGTTCCTCTGCTCAGGGCTGGGTGGAGGCCTTTCCTGAGCTCCGGGTCCTGGCCATGCGCTGTCGGGCTTTGGCAAAGGCCACCTTGATGTCCTGGTTTATGAGGTCCTGCCAGGGGTCTCTGGGGACAGAGAGAAGCAACCCTGAGACCACCGACGGCAGGGAAGCCACTTGCACTGTGTGTCTCCTGGACCCAGCAGCTGTCTGCCAGGATCCCCCTCACTCGCTTGAAACTTTGGAGACTGACGCTCAGAGAGGGGGCACGCTCGGTCCTCAGTGGCACAGCACTGACTCCTGTGCAGGGTGGCTTTGAAGCCCAGTGGCACCCCAGGAGCTGAGAGAGCACCCTGCTCTGCCTGCTCCTCCGGGGGTGGCACTGTGGGCCTGAGCCCCTGGTTGAGAGGTGTCATGTAAATACAGGGGTGAGGGGCCCTGGACTCCCCTCCTGCAATCGCATCACTTTTCAGGGTTCGGCCCACTAGTGCCTGGAGATGGTGCCCCGGTGGTATAGTGGTTAACACGCTGGCCTATAATCCTCATGGTTGGCAGTTCAAAACCACCAGCAGCTCCTTGGGAGAAAGACTGGGCTTCCTACTCCCATAAAGCGTCTCGGAAACCCACAGGGGGTCGCTGTGAGTCCAGCAGTGATGAGGTGGCAGCGAGTTTGGTTTTGGTTGGAGCGCCTGGAGAAAGGTGTTGGGTGCCATCCAGTCTGACTCATCGTGACAGAATAAGGGAGCCCCGCCCCCAGGTCTTCTCCACAGAGCTGGCTTGATGACCGATGTATAGACGTTGCACCCATGGGAACTCTTTGGAGACTGAGGTTCAGAGAGGGAGGGAGGGCTGACTGGGTAGCAGATTGAATTGTTTCCCCCCAAAAGACTTAGCACCTGGCACCCATCAATGTGAGCTTGTTTGGAAATCAGGTCTTGGAAGATGTTATCAGATAAGCAAACCAGCAGTTGGACTGGAGTCGAAACCAAAAACCTTGCCCACTCGCATGGAGTCCATCCCCACTGATAATCGCCTGCAGGACAGAGTACAACCACCATGGGTGGCTGCTAACCGCAAGGTCAGCAGTTTGAAAACAGTCCGAGGGAGGGAGAAAGACGGGTTTCTACTCCAGTAAAAGGTTACCGTCTCAGAAACCCGCAGGGGCAGTTTGGTCCTGTCCTGCAGGGTCACTGTGCACTGGAGGGGACTCTCTGGCAGTGAGTTTGAGATTCTTGTTTGCATGGATCTCCCTTGCCATTTGATCTCCCTCTGGACTCGCTTTAAAGTTGTTTCAGTTTTCAACGTGTTTTGCTTTCTGTTCGACTGAGGTTTTTCTGTTGTTTTGCCGTTGTTCTCTTTTTTTGGAGTTTGTTTTGTATGTTTTTCTGTGTATGAAATCCAGGATAGGTAAATCTAGAGAGACAGAACCTGGATTAATAATTACCGAGGGGCACAGCAGGGAAGGTTGGCGGGAAATGGGGAGCTAACAGCAATAGTACACGAACGAAGAAAATGCTCTGAAATCGAGGCTGGTGATAACAAAGAAAATGCTCTGAAATCGAGGCTGGTGATAATTAATAGGACTGAACTATTGGATTGTATCATATGTGAATAAAATGATTAAAAACAATAAATTTTTAAAAATGGAAAAGTGGCGATGATGGCACAACTCTTCTTAATATGGTTGAAGTGTCCCATTGCACGCTATGTGAAAGAGCCTTGGAGCACCTGGCCTTTTCCACCCCAGAACTGGACTTCCACCCCCAACCCAACCCCCAGGCCGTGAGACCACACATTCCTGTCGTATTTGGTGGAAGTCACTCCAGGAAACCAATACTAGGTGGGCGTCACCTTTACCCAGAGCCAGACATCAGCCAGGCAAGGCGGCAGGGCTGACATCAGAGAAGTGGGCAGCATCTGCGGCTGAGCAGCCGTGAGCCACTGCCATGCACACTGCAGCTTGGGGTCCGGGGGTTTCTGTCCCTTCTCTCCACCAGCCTCCCAAACATCCCCAAAGGTAAGCATAAATCATTTCTGCAGATACGGAAGTAAGATGAAGATAAAAGGATCTGTCAGAAACAACTGAAAAAAAATCAAGTTACAGGGTTCAATTCAAGCAAGAATTTGGTAACTGTCCCGTGAACACAGACTATGTTACCCTCCGACTGGCACCGAGAGCCCAGGACCCATCTCTAGAGTACAGGTATGCCTGTGTGCATGTGTGTGTGACCGCATCTCTAGGCGAGTGGAGAGGCATGCGATACTGCTTCCATGCAAGTGTGCATTAGATGTTCATGAGTGCGGTGTGTGTGCCCAGGGGCACCCGTGCCTCTGCGAGCTCTCTACGTCCATGTGCCTCGGTGGATGTGGCATGCTCCCCTGTCTGCCGGGAGGCCTAATGTCCCATATCCCCCGTCCCCAAGCCGCTCTCTGAAGTTTCTGTCCAGGAGTGGAGAAGACAACAGCAGAGGGGGCTGGAGATGACAAATGGCTGCCAGACGCCCGGTCCCACGTCCAGGGCTTAGTGGGCCCAGAAGGCTGGGGGCTGGGCTTCCCACCACCTCCGCAGGCAGAGCCCTGCCGCTGGTGCCCAAGAGACCTGGTGCATCCCGTGGGCCGCACACAGAGGGGCAGCCAGGGGCACCAGCCATCAGCACCGCATAAAGCTTGTGCAAGCGGCTTGTCCCACAAACACACCGACAAGAAATAGTGGGCATTTCTGTGTGCTCTGCTCCCGAAAAGAGTTACAGTCTCGAGGAGCTGACACCAAAGGTTCAAGTAGAAAATATTTTGGAAATGATGATGGCAGCACATGTACAAATATGCTTGATACCATTGGTGTATGGAATGTTATAAGAGCTGTGAGAGCCCCCAATAAAATGATTTTTTTAACGAGAAAGAAAATGTTCAGAGGAGGATGATGGCAACATATGTACAAATGTCCTTGACACAATGGATGGATGGATGGATTGTGATAAGAGCTGTAAGAGCCCCCAGTAAAATGATTTTTTGAAGTGATTTAAAACAATGAGTTACAGTCTGGGAGACCCACACAGGGCAGTTCTACTCTGTCCCGGGTGCCATCCAGTCTGACTCATCGTGACAGAATAAGGGAGCCCCGTCCCCAGGTCTTCTCCACAGAGCTGGTTTGATGACCGATGTATAGACGTTGCACCCATGGGAACTCTTTGGAGACTGAGGTTCAGAGAGGGAGGGAGGGCTGACTGGGTAGCAGATTGAATTGTTTCCCCCCAAAAGACTTAGCACCTGGCACCCATCAATGTGAGCTTGTTTGGAAATCAGGTCTTGGAAGATGTTATCAGATAAGCAAACCAGCAGTTGGACTGGAGTCGAAACCAAAAACCTTGCCCACTCGCATGGAGTCCATCCCCACTGATAATCGCCTGCAGGACAGAGTACAACCACCATGGGTGGCTGCTAACCGCAAGGTCAGCAGTTTGAAAACAGTCCGAGGGAGGGAGAAAGACGGGTTTCTACTCCAGTAAAAGGTTACCGTCTCAGAAACCC